AAAGGGTGTCACGACATATTTGACAACTGCTTTATAATTTTGAAACGTAAACTTCTCAACTAACCTTAATGAGTACTCTAACCATAACGATCATATTCAGTTTCCAAAATACTATTTAATATTGTTTAAGTAACACTTTCTTTGAAAGTGTTTTAGTATAACCTATACGTTTGAAAAATCCGGGCCGGCCCGGTGGCGCAGTGCTACAGTGCGCCGCTTGAGAGTGTGGTGGCGCTCCCGCCGAGGGTTCGGATCCCACATACAGACCGGTTCCCGCTCACTGGCTGAGCGAGGGGCGGGCGCAGCACCAAGGGTTGCGATCCTGTTGCCGGTCCCGGTCTGGTACGGGCGCGACACTGAGGGTTGCGGTCCGTTGCAGGACATGAAAAAAGACAAAAAAAAAAAAAAAAAAAAAAGAATCCAGCTGCTCTAAATAATTTCAAAACAGCCTAAACTGGTTATTTGCTTTCTTCAAAAGTGTTTAAAAATCCCCCTTTCTCTCCTGTCCATGTCTATCAGAACTCAGAGCTGCCTGGGAGGAAAACCCAAACCACATGTGCTCTTCTTCCCCACCCCTGCCCTCTGGGTGTTTACCTCCTCACCCTTTCCCCTTCCCTTCAGTGCGGAGGGAGAAGATGGACTTAGCCAACCTGCTCATTTCTCAGCCTTTTGCCTCTCCTCCTTCTCCTCCTGTGTCCTGGGCTCTGCACACTAGTGTTCAAAGCCCTCCTCAAGGGCAAGGACATGAGAAGCCTTGGAAACAATATATATCATTCCTTTCCAGGGCATGGAATGTTTAAGGTACATACCACTAACTGCATGCACAATAGCTAGAGTTTAACATACTTATTCTATGATATGAATAGTAGCATACATAATTACAAATTTTAATAAACAACCAGTTCATCATAGTCTCCTGCTACCTCAATCTAATAGTTACTAAGATCAGTAAACATCAACAACAGGGAGCTATAAAAAAACACTACATGGAATAATGCTATCATGACAGAAGAAACACAATTTATGCAGGTTAAAAATAATTGCAAATTCTTTGTTATTTCTTCTATTGAGAAATGGAGTCTAAATGCCTTTCCCTTCAGTCTGGACTAGGCTTGCTGATTTGATTGACCAACAGAATACAGAAGTGATTTTCAAGGCTAGGTCCTAGTAGCCTTGCTATTTTCACCCAGGTCCTCTTGGAATACTCATTCTCTGTGAGCCTTGAGCGGCCATAAGTCTGAATACCCTGGGGTATCCATGCTGAAAACACATGATGAGATCATTCAGAGAGGCTTTGAGACTCAATCAGCCCCATCCAATCCCACCCCAGTTGTTTCACCCTCCTAGCCATCTGAATCATCCCAACGGAGGCCCCACACACCAACGAGCAGAGATGAGACCAGTACACAGAGCCCTGGCCAAACTGCAGATTTATGAGCAAAATAAAAAACTGTTGTTTTAAGCCACTAAATTTTGAGGTAGTTTGTTAGGCAACAACGAATAATCAGAATTACACAATGCTTTGAATTCTTTGACAAGAATAAAAGGAAATCATTTAATCAATCTCTTTCTGGGGTGGGGAAAGTGAACTCTATTAATACAGATTCAGTAAGAATGAAGTAAATCAGTCATCCAGTAGTTATAATTAACAGACCTGAATTGAAAAAGTGAGGTCCAAGTTGCCTTTGATGATTTTGGTATTAAAAAAGAAACACTATAAACTCAAATACAAGAAAAAAGGAAGGGAAAATATTTTTACAAACTACCCTTACCCTTTTGATATTAAGCTTCTGGTTCTATATGAGTGCTCTATTTTGTAGCAAGGTGAGATTAGGCTAAAAGAGAACACCCAATCAGATGGTCCTTAAGCTTTTTGAGGGACCACGTAGCTCTGATGAGAGCTATGGGCCCTTTCTCCCTCAAAAAAAAAAAACACATACACGAATATTCACAAAACACTTCAGACAATTTCAGTGGATTCTTAGCCCTCAGAGTCTATGGGCCTTAGGTTCAGAACCTATTTTAGATGATTATTTAACAATGGTCCATAAATTCACTAGATAATACTGGAATTGTTAACAATTTAAAGTATTTCACTCAAATTCCAAAAAAATCCTTCTTCATTAATCAATGGAGTACCTAGCAATTTAAGACTTGTGTGAATTTAATGCCTACCTATTTTAACTTGAAATTATTACTCAGTTTCAATATCTTAGCACCAGACAATAACCTTCTGAGAGGTGCCTCAGAAAACACATCTTTCTCAAAGAATTTGGTTGAAATTGGAGAACCTAGCAATTTAAGACTTGTGTGAATTTAATGCCCACCTATTTTAACTTGAAATTATTACTCAGTTTCAATATCTTAGCACCAGGCAATAACCTTCTGAGAGGTGCCTCAGAAAACACATCTTTCTCAAAGAATTTGGTTGAAATTGGAGAACCTAGCAATTTAAGACTTGTGTGAATTTAATGCCCACCTATTTTAACTTGAAATTATTACTCAGTTTCAATATCTTAGCACCAGACAATAACCTTCTGAGAGGTGCTTCAGAAAACACATCTTTCTCAAAGAATTTGGTTGAAATTAAGGTTGTCTTTTAGGGAGAGTGGTTCAGTCTCATGCTGACGTAACACAGTAGTTAATTTGGGATTCTTGCCTCACTTATAACCTCAGGTTAAGCGTTCAGCTTCATACCTCTTTAAATACTTAGCACCCAACAATGAACTTGTACTGGGTCCTAATTATTAATAACGATGCTGGTCAATCAGCCTAGAGCAACAATTCTCAAACTTTTTAATCTCAGGACTCTCACACTCTTAAAAATTACATAGAATCCCATAAACCTTTTTCTTAGGTTGGTTTTATCTATTGATGTTTATAATATTAAGCACTAAAACTAAGAAATGTTTTAAATATTTATTAATTCATTTTTAAATAATGTTAACAAATACATATTTTTGTTAAAATTATTTTTCAAAACAAAATTAGTGAGAAGAGTGGCACTGTTTTACAATTTTGCAAATCTCTTTAACGTCTGGCTTAAGAGACTTTCACATCTGCTTCCAAATTCCAATCTTATTACAGGTCATTTTAGCTTCTAGAAAATTCCACCAAACACTCATGAAAGAATGAGAGTAAAAAAGACAAATAACGTCCTAGTATTAACATGAAAATAGTTTTGGTCTCATGGACTCCCTGAAAACAATCTGTTTGTGTCCTAGGTCCTCTATTTCTTCCTTCCTGTCTTTCTTAAATGACCTGACTACAAACTGGAATAATAAATTCTACAATTTATTTTATAATTATTTGTGTATCTTGCTCTTTCATCAGTCTATAGTAAATTTCCACATGCTTCCTAGCCACTTCTGAGCATCAAAATAAAAGACTGATGAAAAGTATTTACACCTGTTCTTTCCTCCCTGGTAACCAAGTAAACAACTATCTAGGGAGATACTTATAATGCCATTCCCACACCAACTTGGGAATTAATCTAGTTTATTAGTAGGTAGATCCATCCAAAACTATCTAGATTATGATTATGCTTTAAAAACATAAGTGTCCTTTTTGTACAATAGTACAAATATGCACAAACCTCACTTGCTCTCACCAAGTGGTACAAAACTGGGTTAAAAGCCAAGGGAATAAGTGTGTTAAATTTAAAAGTTCAAGTACATCGTGGAATTGAATGAAAACCAGTTTTCTGAATAACCATCACAAAACAAGCGAAAGGTCCGAAAATACTTTAAAAAGTCAAAGTCGTCTGAGCAAACAAAACGAAAACCAGACAAAAATCTAATGAATTAAAAACTAGCTATGTGGGCCGGCCCGTGGCTCACTCGGGAGAGTGCGGTGCTGATAACACCAAGGCCCCGGGTTCGGATCCCATATACAGATGGCCGATTCGCTCACTGGCTAAGTGTGGTGCTGACAACACCAAGTCAAGGGTTAAGATCCCCTTACCGGTCATTTTTAAAAAAAAAAAAAAAAAAAAAAAAACTAGCTATGAACGTAGTTAACTAGAACAGGATAAGGAAGAAAATATGTCAGGGAAAATCGATCACTCCTGACTGAGTACAAATCCCAAGTAAATACTTCATACTAACGTTGAGTTGAAGCGCTCTATTATAATGGGCAGCTTTCTGCAAATGTTCTGCAACTGCTCTACATACACAAAGGTTTCCTGTCCTTTTCCTCAAAAGTATCAAGTCACCTTCAGGTTAATGACCAGATAAAATGTTTTTTATTGCTCCAGGAATTTTGTTCTACTTTGTTCTCGGTTATTTTGAGTGCTCTCCTACAACTGGAGAGTTGATGAACCAATCCCGAGTAAGAAATGGGAAAGTACAGAAAAGAGACGACAGCTCTGCACCCCCCCATTCCCCGCCCCCGAAAAAAGACTCGGAGAAGAGCGGCGGCGGCGGCCCGGCCCTAGCTGCAATCCGAGCGCAAAGCAGCGCTTTCTAGGTTCCCACCAACATCCGACAACATCCCCCAGGCCGCCTCCCGCCCTCCCGGGCGAAGAGGCAGAAAGTGGACTCCAGCCGCTGTTAAGGGTCACGGAGCCTCCCAGTCAGGGATTCTCTCCCGTTACATAACTGGGGCCTAGGGCGCTGCCTCTGCAATCAGTCCTTTGGAGGGAGTCCGACGGGTTCCCCAAGGACCCTCTGAAGGAGGTGGAAGCGGGGCTCTGCACCTGGTCGACCCGAGAGAAAGAAGGGGGGCAACGTGACGCAGGCCGCGACCACAAGCGCTGGGGCACGGGGGGTGACGAGCGAGCCCGGAGAGGGGCGGGGCGGCTCCGGGAGCCCCGCGGCAGTCCCCGGCGTCTCCGGCCCTAGTCCGCTCCCCTTCCTCTCTTGCCCAGTCCCCACCGGCCGCCCCCTCCCCCATTGCACGCTCCCATCCCCCGCACCTCCACCCCGGCCCCAGCCCAGGGGCAGGCGGACCAGCGTGGTAGTGCCCCGGCCACCGCAGTTGGATGGCTCCCAGCCCGGTACCTGGTCAGACATGGTGACGGTGACTTCACCCAGGGGTCTCTGCACAGCAGCGGCCTCGGGCAGGCAGAACCTTGCTCCGGGGTTTACAAATCCGTCCCCGTTCCCCACAGCACAACACCGCGACTGCAGGGACTTCCGCTACGCCTCGCGTCACTTCCGCTACGCGCAGGGAGGAGGGGTGGGGAAAGAGAGGAAGGATGAGGCGGGAAAACGGATCGGGGGGCGGTCCAGAAGTGGGAGGACTCAGGAGCAGCTTTACCGGTGGTCGCGCGAATGAGCTACAGTCGCGTCAGCTCCTCCTAGGACCCGCCCAGCGCCTCAATCCCGAGCCCATCCCCCAGGGCGGAAGGTCTCTGGTCCCAGTCTTAATGTTTGGAGACATCCTGACAGCCTAGACTCCTTCCCCTCCGATACCTTGCGCGTTTCCGAAGGCTGAGCAAAGATACTTCTTTTGTCTCCTCCCAGCCTTGCTTGTCAACGCTCCCTAAATATGTTGATTTGAATGTCAGCGCTTCTGACGCTAGAGCTAACGTTTTTGATTAACCAACCCCGCTGCCAAACAAATGACCTTGATTAAAAACAATAATAACGACAACAAAAAAAACCACGACCCCATTGAACACAATCTTGGTGGCTACTGATGAAAAATACACTGAGTTCTAAACTCTGGGGAGGAGGAGCTAATTCCAACCCTTGAATTGATTACTTTGGGTTAAAGAATGACCTTACTGAGATTTCTTCTTTAAAATACAATGGCCCTGCTTGGAGGATAAGGATATAAACAAATAGAATAGAATTAAGTATCCAGAAATAAGTCAATAAAGCCTCACGTTTATATCAGCGAGAATGCCAAGACAATTCAATGATGAAAGAAGTCTTCAATAATTAGTACTGGGACTACTGGACATACACATGCAAAAGAATAAATTCGGATCCCTACCTCACAGCATATACGTAACTAACTTAAAATGAATCCGAGGCCCAAATATAAGAGCTAAAACTATAAAACTCTTAGGAGAAAACAGAGACATGAATTTTCGTGACTTGGATTAGATCACAATTTCTTAATATGACACCAAAAGCACAAGCAACCAAAAAAAAAATTGATAAATTGGACTTCATCAAAATTTAAACTTTTATTATTAATGCTCTAAAGAAAACCTAAAGAATGGGAAAAATATTTGCAAATAATATGTCTGATAAGGGTCTAATATTTAGAATATATAAAGAACTATTAGAACTCAACAATAAAAGACAACCCACTTTAAAAGTAGGTAAAGGACAGAAGCAGACATTTCTCCAAAGAAGATATACAAATAGACATGAAAAGATATTCAACATCATTAGCCATCAGGGAAATGCAAATTAAAACCACAAAGAGATACCACTTCACACCCACTAGGATGGCTATGATCAAAAATTCAGTAACAAGTACTGTCAAGGATGTGGAGAAATTGCAACACTCATACACTGCTAGTAGGAATGTAAAATACTTGGAAAACAAGCTGGTAGTTCCTTAAACTCTAAAACATACAGTTACCAATTCTAGGGCCAGCCCGTGGCTCACTTGGGAGAACGTAGTGCTGACAACACCAAGTCAAGGGTTAAGATCCTCTTACCGGTCATCTTTTAAATTAATTAATTAATTAAATAAAGTTACCAATTCTTCTAGATATATACTCGAGAATGGAAAACATATGTTCACACAAAAACATGTACACAAGTTTATTATTCATGATACAACATTATTCATAATAGCCAAAAAATAGAAATAACTCAAATGTTCATCAACTCATAAATGGATAAATAAGTTATGGTATATTCATATAATGGAACATTATTTGGCCATAAAAAGGAATGAAGTACTGATGTATGCTACAACATGGATGAAACTTTAATCATTGTGCTAAGTGAAAGAAGCCAGTCACAAAGTATGATTCCATCCATATGACATGTACAGAATAGGCAAATCTATCAGGCCAGGAAGTAGATTAGTGGGCTACTACTGTAGCCTACTACTGGGCTAGAGGATTAGGGAAGAAATGGGAAGTGTCTGCTAATGGGTTGTCTCAAAAACCTAGGTCTGTTGGGAAGTTCTACTTTTGCAGTGGGAGACTAGCTTATTTTAGACTAACTCTCCTGTTGAGACCAACTAGAAAAAGTGAACCAAAGAGAAAGAGAAAAACATACTTGTTTAAAGGTATCTGAAACTTACCAAGACAATGAGGATTTTCAGTGAAAAATCTCAGAAAGGAGTGAAGCCTAGAGAAGTGAGCCCTACTTTAGGGTCACTTTTCCCTTTGAGGAATTTGCTGACCCCAAACTGATGGCTAAGAGGCTGAGAAATTGTATAGAAAGTAGTGGCTGAGAGACTGAGTAGCTAAGCAGAGCTCTTGCATTAGGGGGACAAAAACTGGTGTTCAACTGAATATACATTTTTTCCAAGAACATATAGATCACTTACCAAAATTGACCATACTCTAGGCCTTACAGCAAGTCTCAACAAATTTCAAATCATATATAGTATGTTTTTTGACCACAGTGAAATTAAGCTAGACATTAGTAACAAACATGTAGAAAATTCTCATGTATTTTGCAATTTATGGGCAAACTTCTCAATAATTATGAGTCAAAGAAGAAATTAAAGTGAACATTGGAAAATATTTTGAATAAAATAATAGTGAGATTTTAATACATGTCAAATTTTGTGAGATGAAACTAAAGCTGTGCTTAGAGTGAAATTTTTAGCTTTAAAATATATATATATTAGAAAAGAAAAAAGTTAAAAATCAACTCTCTCGGTATTAATCTCAAGAAAGTTGAAAAGAAGAGAAAATTAAAGCCAAAGAAAGGAGAAGGAAGGAAATAAAGGCAGAAATGGAATAGCAATAAACCTACAATATAGAAGATCAAGAAAGACACACTTGATTTTTTTTAAATGACTAATAATATTAATACACCACTAATGAGACTGTTCAAAAAAAATAAAGATGCTAAGAAGTAATATCAGGAATAAAAAAGGGGGCACCCTATTGATCCTACGGACATTAAAGAGATGATAAAATTTATGCTTTATACTTATTAATATTGAATCAGTTTAAGATTTGCACTTTTTTTGCCCATTGAATATATCCTAAGTGTAAAAGAATCACGGTAAGATGTCAAACTTTTCATTCTACATCTTTTCTCCTTTGACCCAATTTTTAAAAAAACTTTCTTCTTATGGACTTCTTCTCTTTCCCAGGTGAGAAAGTATGAGTGCAGGATTGCAGTTTCTAATTTTACATACAGTTCTATTCATAGAAGACAAAATGTTTATTGCACTTACAGTTTTATTTAAAAGGCCTCTTCTTCAGAGATACTGATACTTACAATACGGGAATTATTAGAAAGTCAGGGATAGTTGAAGTCCTAATTCTATTGAATGGCATGCCAAGGAACGGGAAATGCTTCTGCTTTTTGTTACTCTGCTTTTGAACAGCACCAGAAACAAAAGGTGGTGGTACCACTTCCTCCTAATATGGGCAACTGTCCCTATTCCCACTCTTCCTTACTTTTATTTTGTCTGCCTTTTTCAGCTCTTAAAAATGTTCTCATACTACCAATGGCTCCCACACACAGGGCTTAACTCCTTCAGATGTCAAAGGAATTGTTTACTTTGGGCTGGTTTGCCCATCAGTTAGCTCAGTTGTGGAATTTTACTTCACTCATGGTGCCATGCTAGTGTAGGAGAAACTCGTGATTTTTTTTTTTTCCCGGAAAAGAGAAAGAGAAGAGAGATAAAAGTGCTGTTGACAGCAGAGTGTGGTCCAGGGCATGAGTGCAGAACAGATGTTCAGGTAATGTTTAATTTTAATTTCTCCAAGAATCTTGTTTGAGTTCTCCATGTTTCCCAGACTCTCCAGTACTACTTCCAGGCCACCATATCTCTGTTTAGTTTAAAACCTGTCCTTTGCTTTTGCTGCCATCCACCAGACTCATTCACTGGTTCACTGTCTTCCCTACATGCCCAAGCCCTGCTCCCATCAAGGGTGACTTCAATTTTTATGTGATAACACATCCAACACCCTAATCTTCTATTCCTCTATCTCCCCTTTTCTCAGGACACCTTAGCTACTCCCCTAGTCCTTATTACTATCAAGAATTTCTTCATCTCTGAAATCTTAAATTCAAAACACTTTCTTATTGTCATAACATATGCGAGGAAAGCAACTAACTCCTGGCAATAACTGTGGTTTTTTTAGAATGCATAATTGGAATAAACAAAAGTAACTGTGGTTTACTATAACATTGATTCTCAAGATGAGGAATGAGGAAGAAAGGAGTAAATTCCCAAGGATGTTCATCTGCATATCAGAGGTTTGCTTGATTTGAAGCCCCCCACAGGTGATTGTGATGAGCCTCTGTAAGCAGCATTTCTCCTGCCCACTCTACCTCTTGTAAATCACTGAAGGAACTGGAGTCAAGATCTCCCGGGTTCAAATCCCAATTCCATCACTTCCTTGGGTGAGTTCTTCAATTATGCCTCTGTTTTCTCATCTGTAAGATGAGGATAGTACTATTAATTACTTTTTAAGGCTAAGTGAGATAACAAATATACAGTACTTGAAAGAGGGTCTGCCATTACATAAATATTGGCGATTATCCTCATCACAAACAACATTTATAAGCCAATCACTTCCAAATCTCTTATCTTCAGCCCAGGTTTCTCTCAGTGCTCAAAATCATACCCAATTTCCTCCTGAATATCTCTCCTTGAAAGACTCTGGACACTGTACACTTCTGTCTAAAACATTTTTTTCCTTCAAAAATCTGCTCCTCTTCTTCAAGGTTTTCTATCAAATCTTCAAATGATATTACTATACCAATTGACCCAGGTCAGAATCTAAGCAATCACCAAAACCTGCCTACTCTATCATCTCCATTTCCATCTCTACTACCATCAATCTAATTCCCACTTTCTTTTTTCTTCTGGACTACTGATGCAGCTTCCTAACTTTTTTCTCTCCCTTTTGTTTTGTTTCTTCATACTGTAAGCTGGCACCAAAGCAGGGCTTCTCTCCTAGATTCTTCCCTGCAAATCCTCATTGTCTTGGTAAGTCTCAGATACCTTTAAACAAGTACGTTTTTCTCTTTTTTTCTTGGTCCACTGTTTCTAGT